CGGGGCGGGCTCGGTAGGCAGGGGCTCGAGACGTCGGGGTGCCTGGAGGGCGCCGGACGCGTGGGCGTACAGGGTGGCGCCATCCTGGCGCTGACTGGTGAGGTAGCGTTGAGTCTGGCGGAGCCAGGTGCCGAACTCTATCGGGGCGGCCCTCCGCGTCGAAACGAAGGCGGCGGGGGACTCCATAGTGGAGGCTAGGCTAGGAGCGGCCGGAACCCGGAGTAAGCGGAGCTAGGAGCGAGGAGCAATAACTGCTGGGAGCGCCAGGTGGACCTAGGCGAGGGACAGTCGGAGTACGGAGCAAGCTAGGCTAGGAGCGTGGAGTGGGGAGCTAACCGGTCCTATAGCGCTCTACCACAGTGAGAGAGCGGCCTCCAGCCGCTGAAACGGAAACCAGGAGCAGTAGGAATGGTGTGGGCCCAGAGAAGGGTGGAGGAGAAGTGGCTAATTCCCGGGCAGAACGGGGCGGACTAGGGTAGCGAGGGTGGTAGGGCGCATGGCTAGTTGAGGAGGGGCGGATTGGTGAGGGTGTGGACGAGGGGGCGGGCAGGACGCGGGCTTAGGTAGGGCGCGGGCTAAGGCAGGGCGCGGGCTAAGGTGACGGCGCTAGCAGGGCGCGGCGTGGACGAAGGCGCGGGCTAGGGCGCGTGACGGGCTGGCAAAGGGCGCGCGCGACGGGCTGGCCTAGGACGCGCGACGGGCTGGCCTAGGGCGCGCGCGACGGGCTGGCCTAGGGGCGCGCCACGGGCTGGGTAGAGCGCGCACGTGAGGGGAGGGCGCGGGCTAGGCGCGGAGGGTGCGGAGGCGCGGACGGTGCAGTGGCGCGGGTTAGGCGCGGAGGCACGAAGGGCGCGGTGGCGCGGAGGCGTGAGCTAGGCGCGGAGGGCGCGGAGGGTGCACTAGGGGAAGGCGCGGAGGCGCGGGTGTGCGCTAGGCTAGGAACGGGCTAGGAACGGTCGAGATTCGAGAACGAACCTACTCGTGATACCATCTTAAGAGTAGCTAGCAACGGAATGAATGAACTAGGAAAGTGAGTGATACAAATAGCAAACCTAGAAAGTGTTGTACTCTCTACAGTGCTACCCACTACAGCCTATTATAACAATGTGCAACATTTAGGGTGTGTCAAATATATTTATATATGTGTTAGTTATATTAGGTTGGAGTGAGTTGTATAGTACAGGGTACATTCGTTTTCTTAGCCAATTCCAACAGCCTCTATAAAATAAACCAACCTAGCCTATAATATGCATATGCAAAAGTTTACTATTTCGTTGCAAGTTTCTTTTCATGCACTTTGTCGTACAGTAACAGTTTTTAATAGAATTTATATTGCTATCAGTGAATCATAAATTGATATCTGCATACATAATATATTTAAATAACTCGTTCCATTGTGTTTGTTAAAGCCAGCAGATAAAATAGTGACCCGCCCCCTTCTAGTTGGGTCCACTAGAAAGTTGAAGTGCTCCCGTTTTTTTTTTTATGGCGCATATGATACTGATTGTGTTTCCACATTTCGTCTCAAACAAAATTCGTCCCAAGCATGCGCAAATGCGTCGCTCAAAAGTTTTCGACGTGCAAGTCTCATTTACATCCAGCGCCAAATTCACAACGTGAAGCATGTCCAACTCATGCAAAGCAAGTCCAACTCACGCAGAGCAAAGGCCTTAGACATGGGCCTGCAGGGCGGCAATAACAACATGGGAAAAACAAGAAGCGAAAAAAGAGCTGGATATCAGAGGACGAGAGAAGAACAGATAGTGCAACAGAAACGAGAGGAGATGTGCGTGAGCAAAATCCGCGGAATGGTAGGGTGATGGGAGGGGCATTGGGAAAGGTGAGATGAGCTGGAGCGAGGGCAACGGAAAGGGAGGGGAGAGAGCAAGGGCGACGGAAAGGGAGGGAAGAGAGCAAGGGCGACGGAAAGGGAGGGGAGAGCAAGGGCGACGGAAAGGGAGGGAAGAGAATAAGGGCAACGGAAAAGGAGGGGAGAGAGAGAGGGCGACGGAAAATGGGGGGAGAGGGCGAGGGCGACGGGAAGGGAGGGGAGAGAGCGAGGGCGACGGGAAGGGAGGGAGAGAGAGCGAGGGAACGGGAACAAGGACCTGAAGAGGGATCGACGGGAGGGGAGGGAAGAGAAGAGGAACGACGCGAGGGGAGGTAATTGTTTACGAAATTAAGATTCCTATTATTAGATCAAGAAAATATAGCAGATTTGGTTGGCTGCAGGAAGGTCGATATTACTACGAGATGGCAGAGGATTTCGCGAGGGCGTCGGAACAGTCGGGCGTTCGTAACGAACGACAAGATGAGCGACGGTCGTGCGATTGGACGGGCGACGGGACGAGCGACAGTACGAGCAACGGGAGGCCGACACGGAGGGTGACGGGAGGCGATTGTGATGGGACGCGAGGGCGACGGGAGTGCATTGGGAAGGCGATTGCGATGGGACGCGAGGATGGCGCGACGGGAGAGAGGAAGCGCGACGGAGAGCGAGGGGCCGACAGTGAGGAGCGTGACAATTGCGCGAGATGCGAAAGAGCAATGCGCCCCACTAATGTATTACCCATCCAAGCCACTAATGTATTACCCACACTGCTAGGCGGGTAAGGTCCAGGTTCTCAACTATTCTATGCTAGTAAAAAAAACTAGACTCACGAATGGAAAATGGGTAGTGAACCCCCTCCCAACTTGTGATCAGAAGCCTAAGTTGACTTAGGACTTGGGTTGAGGGTAGAAGGAGAGATACGAGAGGAAGGGGTCGAGAGATTAGCCAAAAAAGGGGGTTGTTCACTATAGAGCGAGCAGTACAAATAGGCAAGAATCAAGAAAGGTGCACCACCAAACAAGAACATAGAGCTACACTAGGTCTACACTACAAGCAGTTATAGTAATGTATACAAGTACATTCTGACACACCCCCTAACTGCCTGCAGTGAAGAACCATGTGCAGAAACACCCCCGGAAGGGGTACACCAAGCGCAGCGGAAGACAGCAGAGAGGAATGAGGAGAGGAGGAGACGAGAGAGAGAGAGAGGGGAGAGGAGAGGAATGAGGAGAGGAGGTGGGGGAGCCACGCGGCGAGCCCCTCTTACGAACCCCCGTTTTACGAAGGGGGGGGATGAGAGAGGGATGAGGAGAGGAGGTGGGGGAGCCACGCGGCGAGCCCCTCTTACGAACCCCCTGTTTACAAGGGGGGGGGGGGGGTGAGAGAGGGAGGAGAGGAGGTGGGGGGGAGCCTAGCGCGGCGAGCCCCTCTTACTAACCCCCTAATTCCACGCCCCCTTTCAGCCACCCCCCTTGTCAACCTCACCCCCCTTGTCAACCGCCCCTGGAACCTCACGTCTTCCCCTCACCCTTCCTCCAACGCCACCCCCTCACCCTCCCCCCCCCCCCCCCCCCTCCCCCTCACCCCAGGAGGGGCGACAGGAAGAGAGAGGAGGTGGGCTGGCGCATGCTGGTCATCCCTGCCACCCCCTCACCCTCCCCCCCACCCCACTGCAGTAGGAGTGGAGAGGTGGAGGGACGGCTGCTGGCGTGTCATACCCCCCACCCCCACACCCTTCCCCCACCCCTTTCACGGCTGCACCAGCAGCAGGGAGAGGGAGAAGGCTGGCGGCGGCGTAGCGCAGCAGCAGAGTGGCGTCAACCACCCCCGCCCCCCAACACCCTCCCCCCCCCCTGGTGCACGAGCAGCAGTGAGAAAGGGGAAAAATGGCGGGCGGGGGTGCAGCAGGCGGCTGCAGCTGTAGGTGACGCTGCAGTCGCGCGAGAGGCTGCAGCTGCGCAATTCGCTGCAGTCGCGCACGCGACTGGTGACGTGCGTGCAGCTGCGCGTTCGCGGTTGCGTGCGTGCGGCTGTGCGCACTGCGCACCGCTCGACGGGGACGGGACGGGCCGGGGCAGCGAGGGACGGATGGGCTGCGACGAGGGGGCCGAAACGGGGCCGCATCTGGCGCCATCGCGCAGCTCGCCGTCACGGGCAGCGTGACGGACGGAAGCTGCGCAACGTGCAGCACGAAGCAGGGATCGAGTGGGGGCGAAGGCGCCATGCAGGAGCGAGAAAATAACGGCGGTGGGCCCATGGACAACAGGTCTTAGGAGCTTAAGTGCTCTGATACCATGTCAGAAGCCTAAGTTGACTTAGGACTTGGGTTGAGGGTAGAAGGAGAGTTACGAGAGGAAGGGGTCGAGAGATTAGCAAAAAAAGGGGGTTGTTCACTATAGAGCGAGCAGTACAAATAGGCAAGAATCAAGAAAGGTGCACCACCAAACAAGAACATAGAGCTACACTAGGTCTACACTACAGGCAGTTGAAGCTGAGGTTACACAAGTACACAAGTATACAAGTACATTCTGACACTTGAAGCTGAGGTTTCTCCAACGATCAAAACTGCCGCCGTGCAACTGTCGTGCAGGTGTAGAAAAGCGATTCGTTGTGCAAGCGCGAATGTTTGTTTTAGTAGGAGCCAATCGCGTGAGTTCAATCTGCCTGCAAGGATTCTTTGAAACAGCCCGATTTCTGTTTCACTTCACTTCAACAGACTCATCACACATAGCACGTTTTCAAGTTGGGGGGGGGGGGTCACTATTTTAGCTGCTGGCTTTAAAATATTTTATATATAATATTCATGCCAAGTGTACCATGCCGTGGCGCTCAGAGTGGACTTATTATGCTGAGTGGACATCTGAAGTTCGGAACCACAAATGTGTTGTTGCACATTGTCAAGTTCGTGACTTTCAAACATTGATCACAGGAGCTCTATTCGAAAGGACTTCGAATTCTGCAAGTCCACGCTACAAATTCGCTCAGCACAACTACGCTGCCTGCGTCTTCTGCAGGATTATATATTCTCAACCTCCACACTACTTTAATAACCATCGGCAAGCCTTCACTTGCCAACAGCCCCCGTTTCACCTCACTCTCACCTTGCCTGCACACGAGTGCTCATCGTCACACGTCCTTAGCCTTTCCTGAGTCACAGAGCTCAGCAGCCATGGCCCACGTTCAGTCCACATTTTCGGCGCGGCGCGTCATCACCCTCGCCGTATTCTACTTCGCGTCACTCTGGGCGGTGATTCTCCCTCTGCCGCGCCTCGCGGAAGCAGTTTCCCTCTCCGACGTGCTGGCTCTAATCCGCGATAAGGCAAATTTTGCCGCCGGGGACCTATCTTGTGGAATGGTGGAGTTTGCCGCGGGATACGACAAGGTGAACGACATCAGCGGAGTCTCGCTTCTGCTGCCTGAAAACGACGCCTGGAATTATGCAATGATGGGCTACCAGGGCATGAACCCGTCCGCTACAACCGCGTCGGACCCGCTTCTTGAGGCGCTCGACACAATGGTGAAGTCCAAGGGCGCCGTGGCGAGTCTCAACGCCATGTCTGCCAACGCCAAGAATGCCATGTCCCGGCTGGCAAAGTACATGGCGATCCGCGAATACATCTCACCTCAGGAAATGGCATCCGGCAAGGTGAGTTCATTGCTCCAGCCATGGAACTTGTTTTTTTTCAATGTGGTGTTGTTATGTATGAACGTAAGCTGTGATCGTTTCTTTCTCATGAGCCTGTTTTCCCTTCCGAGCAGTACAAGGACGGGCGGTTCAGCCTAAACACGTTGCTCAACCAGCCACTGTATCTCTACGGCAACGTCACTGGCATCGGCAGTAACACGGCCTTGGATCACGTCTTCATTGGGTCCGACATGGGACCCATCGAAGCCGTAAGAGCCATTGCGACTAACACGAGCGACCCCGTGAGCGTAGACCAATTTTCGAAGGGGGGTAACGCTGGAGTGCCGAAGGCAGTGGCGCGTGTAAACTTAGCTGGTGGTCAGGGCACGTCCGAAAAGTTCCTTGGCAAGACCACGTCATCTTCTGATATGGGAGCTCTTGCGGTATCTATGGTGGTGTTCCCCGCCAACATGGGCTCCCTCACCAGCTACGATGCCGTGTCAACATACGGCAAAGGTACGCCCAGTGGAGTGTATACTATTGATGCTAGCCGGCCCTTGTGTGGCTCTCAGTGCAATGCCGCAACTGGAAGTTGGTACTGTATGCAATGGCGTGCCGAAGTTTATTCTTTACCAAGTTTTGATTGTGTTTTCATTTCTGTGACTGTGCAGGTGCTGGCACTTTTGCCTTGTATGGGAGCTCCATGGCCCTGATTCTTTCGATGATTGCAGCGCTTTTGCTCGTTTGAATCTAGATGGAAGCACAACGGGCGTGTTTTCTACACCATCCTTGATCTAGTTTGTTTTGTTTGTCCAGGTTTGCCAGTGCTTTTGGCTTGGTTTGTTAGTACCGTAGATAGCCTGCCACATTCGTGGCTTTCTATTTGTGTTTTTCCTTTGTCAATGAGAGTCATAGTTCGTCCGGATTCCTTACCCGAAATCTTAAACCCGGAACTCGCGCACTTGCATAACGTGTACAGAACTCGACCTTTTTGTAAATCAGTGGAGTAACTTAGAGACTAGGGTTTGGATGGCGAGAGAGATTGGGCACGAGAGGGTATGCATTATGGCAACAAGGGAAGGTGGGAAAGGGGGTACACCACCAGCATAGAAATACTACTGTGATACTACACTAACTGTACATGCAGTTACACAAGTTTATATAAATCTAACATCCCCCCTTAACTGCATGGAACACTAGCTAGTGTAGAGGCGCTCTACCCGAAGTGCAGCGATCACCATGCCGCATCTTGAACGACCATGGTTGAACCCCCACAGCAGGTGCCCGGTTGCGGTTGAACCCCCGCAACAGGTGACGTGTGCACAACGAGGGGCGACCATTGTTGACGGGAGTTGGCCCCCCCCTCGCTTGGGCAAAGCTGGCAAATGTTCACATTTGTTATAGTCTGTAGTGAGGTGCTGTGTAGTGGGTACAACTCAATTAGACTGTCATGCTTGTACTCCCCTCCCTTGCTACTCTCGACATTCCGTTGCACTCTACTTCTAAGATGGTATCATGAGTAGGTATAGTATCCTAGCCTAGACTAGCCTAACTCGCACTCTAACGCCCTCCACGCTCTAGCCTTTCGTCGCGCCCTCCGCGCCCTCCGAAATTAGCCCTCCGCGCCCTCCGCGCCCTCTGAAACGCGCCCTCCGCGCCCTCCGAAATGCGCCCTCCATCTCGTGCCTCCGCCCTTAGCTCTTCGCGGGCCCCGTGCGCCCTGCCGTAGTTCGTCGCGGGCCCCGTGCGCCCTGCCGTAGCTCGTCGCGGGCCCCGTGCGCCCTGCCCGCCTAGCACGCCTCCGCGCCTCTCGCACCCTCCATCCCGGGCCTGAGCCGTGCGCCCTCTCCTTCGCCCACGCCTGGCGCTTTAGACCGCGCCTAGCCCGCGCCCGAGCCCGTGGCTTAGCCCGCGCCTTACCCCGCGCCACGCCCCCTCCGTGCTTAGCCCCGCCCTCCGCGCCGTCCGCGCCCCCGTGCTTAGCTCCGCCCTTTGCGCCGTCCGCGCCCTCCGAACTTAGGCCCGCCCTCCGTGCCTCCCACAGGCCGAGCTCGCGCCCACGCCTTAGCCCTCGCCCTCGCCTTAGCTTGGGCCCTACCGACGCCCACCGACACTTGGCACTCGTCCCTTTCCCCACCACCACCCTGTTCGCTGAGCCCCAACCATTCTTACTGCCAGTGGTCTCTAGTTCAGCGGCTGGCAGCCGCTTCTCTCGCAGGTCACCTAGGTTAGACCCGTGTGGTCACTAGCTCCTCGCCTCTAGCGCCCATATCTGGAGTTCCTCGCCGTTTCACGCCTAGCCTAGGTCACTCCGTGCTCCTCGCCACTAGCTCTGTCGGTCTCTTGCCTCGCCCCACCTGGCGTTCCTCCATTTCCCTCCTCGTTCCTAGCTCCGTCTCTTCCGTGCTCCAACCGCCTCTAGCCTAGCCTCCAGTATGGAGTCTCGCCGCCTTCGGTTCGATGCGGAGGGACGCCCGATCGAGTTCAGTACCTGGCAGCACCAGGCCACGCGCTACCTCACCAGTCAGCGTCAGGACGGCACCACCTTGTGGGCCCACGCGTCGGGTGCCCTCAAAGCGCCCCTGTCCCCCGACCCCCTCCCAAACGACCTAGAGCCGACTCCTGCGGCGCAGGCGGACTACGACCGTCGTGTCTTGGCGAGGGACGTGTGGGACTCTCGCGACGCTGCCGCCGCTCTTGCGCTGACGGAGCTCCTCCCCCCGACTGAGGCCGCCCACTTTGACCAGGTGGAGACAGCTCAGGGGGTTTGGGCTGCTGTTGTTGCACGCTATTCCACCCCTTCCTCTGCCTCCCTCAGTCGCCTCCTCATGCCGTTCGTGTTTCCCGACCTCGGCTCGTTTGCGACTGTGTCCGACCTAGTGACTCACCTCCGCTCACTTGACGCCGGTTTCCGAGCGGCCTGTACCGACGCCCAGCTTCTTGCTGCTCCCCCCCCCATGTGGCTCACTGTGCACTGGTTAGTCACCCGCCTCCCTGACCGCCTAGCCAGTGCTCGCGACGCGCTTCTCCAGAAGCACCCCACTGAGCTCACTATCGATCTCCTTGAGACCGCTCTCGGGACGATCGAGAATAGCCTCCTCACCGTTGCCTCCGCCACTGACGCGGTGGCCCCCCGTCTCTTTGCGGGGTGTGCCGCCCCTCAGCTTCCCACTTTCACCGCTACCCGCGCTTCTGCTGCTGTGTCGGTTTCTGGGGACACTGCTGCCGTTTCTGCCGCAGACTGGCAGAAACGGGGCAAGAGTGGCAAGAAGGGTGGGAAGGGGGGAGGTGGAGGCGGTGGAGGCGGCGGTGGAGGTGGCGGTGGAGGTGGGAGCGGCGGTGGTGGAGGCGGTGGCGGCGGCGGCGGCGGAGGTGCACCAGGCGGAGGGGACCTTGGAGGAGGTGCAGGACAGACAGGCCCGCCCACTGGCGGTGGCCCCACCGGTAGGGGTGTTGGACCCCAGCAGCAGCAGTCGCAGCAACACAAGCCACAGCAGGGACAGCAGCAGCAGCAGGGACCACAGAAGCAGCAGGCACCGCACCAGTTCCAGCAGTGGGGGCCCCCACTGCAGTGGGGTCCGCAGCAGCACTGGGGTCCCCTGCCGCAGTGGAGTCCGGGAGGACCAGGGAGCACCGGCCGCAGCGGCAGCGCTTCCGCTGGGCCCCTCGCCCCCCTCGCCGTGACACTGGCCCCTGCACCCACTGGTGCCTCACCGGACCTGGCAGCCCCTGTCTCTGCGGTCGTGACGACCATTCTGCCGCGCGGTGCTTACGCCGCCTCGACGACCTCTACCGTGCTCGTTGGGGCCCTACGGCGACCACGCCTCGCTGGGCTCGCCTGTTAGCCCGTAAGATTGATGTGTTTGATATGTCTATGGACGATGCTCGTCATCATGCTTTGTATACTGATGTTGACTATAATGCTGATGGATCTGTGTGCTCGCGTGTTCGTAGATTAGTTTGCTTGCCTCCTGCTAGTGTAGACTTGTGCCTTTCTAGTCTAGGTGCTTGTGTTGCTGCTCTAGGTGCTTGTGTAGCCACTAGGACGGGTGAACCTCCGGCTGAGGCGAACCCTGTCCTTCACGCTGGACTATGGTGCATCTCAGTGCTTCTTCCGCGACCACACGACCCTCACGCCACTCCTCACTCCTGTTTCGGTGGCTCTGGCTGATCCTACCTCAGGACCAGCCGTTGCGCGTAGCTCCACTACCCTCCCGTGTCCTGTGGTCCCCTCTGGTGTCCTGCGCGGCCTCCACATCCCCTCGTTCACTCGGAACTTGGTGGGTGTTGGTTACCTCCAGGACAGGGGGATCACGGTTACCTTTGTGGGGGATGGGAGGACTGCGGTCTGTACAGACGCTGCCACAGGTGCTGTTCTGGCCACGTTCACCATGGAGCCCCGCTCCGGTCTCTACGTTCTCCACACCGAGCGCTCCCCGGTTGCATCCCCCGCTCAGGTCGTTGCGTCCCCTCCAGTCCAGGTGTCCCGTCCGGTTGCTGTGTCTAGCCAGGTGGTCGTGTCTTGTCCAGTTGCACTGTCTAGTCAGGTCGCGCTGTCTAGTCCAGTCGCTGCGTCCTGCTCCTGTCGGCCCCTCACCCACCGGACCGTCTTGTGGCATCACCGCCTTGGCCACCCGTCGATCCCCCGCCTCCGCGGGATGACCACTCAAGGGCTTGTCACCGGTCTCCCACGCACCTTTCCGTCGCTCCCCACCTCCACTGCTCCCCCTTGCACTCCTTGCGTCGCCGGTCGCTTACGCGCCACTCCCCACTCCTCCTCCCTTCGTCCGGCCACTGCTCCCTTCGAGACCCTCCACTTGGACGTCTGGGGCCCTGCCCCGACCCAGGGTTCTGGGAGGGAGCGTTACTTTCTGGTGGTCGTCGATGACTTCTCCAGGTACACCACAGTGTTCCCTCTCGCGAAGAAGTCCGAGGTGGCTGCTACGCTGATCCGGTGGCTTCTGGCCACTGAGGGCACTCGTGGTCGTCGTGTCAGTTGTCTACACTCTGACCGTGGGGGCGAGTTTCGCTCCGACGTTCTTGCCGGATTCTGCTGCGAACAGGGCATCGTACAGTCCTGGACGCTTCCGGAGTCCCCACAGCAGAATGGGGTTGCTGAGCGCCGCATTGGCTTGGTCATGGACATCGCTCGCACGTCCATGATCCATGCCCGTGCGCCCCATTTTCTGTGGCCTTACGCGGTTCGCTACGCCGCACACCAGCTGAACCTCCAGCCGCGCGTCTCGCGGCCCGAGGCTTCACCGACCAGTCTTTGGACCGGGTCCCCTGGTGTTGGGTCGGTCTTTCGTGTCTGGGGCTGCCTTGCGCTTGTTTGCGACACCTCCGCGGACAAGCTCTCGGCACGCGCCGTCCCCTGTGTCTTCCTTGGTTTCCCGGTGGACTCTGCCGACTGGTCCTTTTACCACCCTCCCCTCCACCAGTTCCTAGACTCCTGTGACGTCCGGTTTGACGAGTCCGTGTCCTACTACACCCGGTACCCCTGTCGAGGTCTCCCGGTACCCCCTCCCCCCCTCTTCCTCGCACCCTCTCGTCCTCCTGCTCCCGCTCCTCCGGTACCCCTGCCTCCCCCTGGTCCTGCCCCTTCTGGTGTGTCCCACGCTACCCCTCTACCCTCAGTCGCGCGTCAGGTAGCGTCTCCCTCCCCGCAATCCTCCTCACAGTCCCCTCAGCAGCCTTCGGCACTTCCGCGACAGGTTCCTGTGGACTCGGTTGGTGTTGGAGCTGGAG